TTTTTTTTTGAGAAAGATATTAGACAATGATAATAGGCATGTTTGCGCAAATATTTGCATATGCAATGCAATATGCGTGATTATTTCATGTATAAATTTGAAATTTATTATGTGTTTTAATTGTGTTGTAACTTGAATGCTTTAGAGTCGATAAGTAAAATGTTAAGACAGTATGTAACATTTTGAGATGAAAGACGCTTGATTTTGTTTGCTACTAGTACTGATGCAACATATAGATTCGCAACATGGTACGCCAGTAGACACTAACCCTTTTAGTTCGATAGGACCCAATTGAAGATATGGAAGTTAAAAGTTTCTGTAATATATGTTTTTGTTTGGATTTTCAGAACAAACGCAAACAACAAAGAGAACTATAGGTTGTAAGAATGAATATCAAATTCTAAATAAATGAAGTTGTACGAACCAAATGGATATTAGTGAACTATTCCTAATTTTTTCATTCTTTACATTGATGTTCTTAAAACATTTCCTTCACATATGCATTTTTTACAGAAAGGATTATAAAAAGGAAAGAAGATGTAATTATTATGAGTTATATTCTTTACAGCATGCATATCGGGATGGCAGTCTTGAGGAAGTGGTTCTTGCGCACCTTGGATCTGATGATGAAGATACAATTATTGCCAAAGAGCTTAGGTGCTTTTTCCTTTTCCAAAAAGTTTTTTGTGGTGCCCCTTTAACCTAACAATAAGGTTTCAAGTTCTAATGTGTTGATATATACTTTCAGACTCACAGAATCTTTTAACGATATGAGGCTCTGATGAGATAATGCCTCTTCAGTGACATTATCGAGTGCTAAGGTGCGATGTTCTTCCTCCACACTATTAACTTACAGATTGCTGCATGTTCTTGTATTTTGTGGAATTCTGTTCCTACATGATTTTGGTAGATGGTACCTTAGGCATGATTGTAACGCTTGTTGACCAGCTTGAGCCTGAATTTTATATTTATATCATCTGTTTCTGTTGATATTGAAATCTAAATATGGTATGATGTGTTTCGTATAATTGCTAAAATGTGATCGTATGGTTTTGCTCGCATCAACATCATCATGTGTTTAAGATCCAGTATGCATATCTAGTGGGATTTTATTTTTTTTCAACTATAATGTTCTAACGTTCATGGTTTACCACATGGACTATGTACACTTTTTTTTTTTAATTTACGAACTTATTATGTTTGCAGGCTTTTCTACTTGCAAACTGTACATCCAGCTAAAATGTCAAAAGAGTGTCAAGAGTGCTTCTATTTAAGGTCAGATTATCTTTTTGCATCCGACCATCAACTTTGATTTGTTTGTGATGTTGCAAGTATTTCTTTTTCCCCATGAAAATGTAGTTCTGTAGTAGTAGTAGTAGTAGTAGTTGAAATATTATTTTTATTGATAGATCTTTTGGTAGCTTGATTGATCATGTTTCAGTTTCAAGGATACTAAACATATTTCTTGGTAATGTTTGCTAAATAATCAATTTTGGTAGCATGAAAAAATGAGGTTGATAATATATCTTTTTGATGGAAAGAGAGTGATTAGCAAGAAAATAGTGAAACAAAGATAATAAAAAATAGAAAGATGTAAAGTTTCTAATATGGATTCAGCACCAAAAGAAAGCTTATTGTTGCTACAGAAAATCAAAATTTTAGATAGTCGTAAACCTATTTTGTATTCATTTTCAGGTGCAATAGTGTTATTCCCTTTAATGCCCAACATTGAACTCCAGTACTCAAAAAATTGAGGCAACTCATCCCCATCGTGTGAAAAAAGAAATAATAAAATGTACTTTAGAAGGTGAAAGCACGGTGGAGCATGCATTGATACCTTCATATCAATAGTTCAAAACTCTTCATCATAAATTTTAAGGCTCAACTTTTGCCCGAATATGTAGAGAGGGAAACAACAATTACGCACGCATTATGGCCAATCTATGGACCTGGGTTAACATAACATTTCATTTGTCTACAATTTATATTGGCTTGTGCTATGTTTGACGTTGTTTTGAAACTGCATTCGCTAATGTAATAATGTGTGGTATGATGTATGTACTATTTTGATTGTAAACGGGGTTATGATCAATTTTTTTCCCGTTAACCATAGAACACCATTGTTTTAGAAGTTCTATGGAATGATTTTTTCATAGAAATCAAACTAAGATTTGTCTAAGTGCCATCTTTTCATGTTCCTTTTTTATTTTTATATTACTCTCTTTTTTTTTTTATTTGAACGACCAACTAAAATTATCGATTCGGGACCCAAGAAAAAGTGTAAGGGAAACACAATCTGATATGGCCCATTAGACATGTATATATCCACCAGTACACCTTGACTATTGGTAGGTAGGTCTGACGGTCAAGATAGTCATTTGCAAACTTAAATGCCACAAGTTCGCTTCGAGGTGCAAGAACTTTCATTAGCAAGTGTTTGAGGGACAAAAAAAAGGTGAATTCTTTTACATAAGAATAAGAGGAGGCGAAGAAAGACCTTTGAATTGGTTAATCACCAAGGATATGACACCTTTTTCTTGGTAATGAGACAAAAAAAGAGTATTGTTGTTTGAAGTTCACTTGCAAAGCAACTTACCAGTTATTGATAGTGAGGAGCAGAGCAGTAACATCGAAACTAGCTTCTCAAGAGATGAGCTGGAACTTTTTTCTTCTTCTCGAGTGAGGTAGCTTTCTATTGTTTTTCGCGCAAAGGTTGAAAAAATGAAATGAAAAGGATAAAAAATACGAATTACAATCCATCATTTAGCTTCCCTTTGAGGAGGATCTTCTTTGTCCTTCACAACATAAAATGCTGGGTGAAACTCAAAAAATAATTGGTTATCATTGGCAAAAACACTCGATAGACTTTTTGCAAAGTCAGGCACATGCAACAATTTTGTTAGAAACAAGGGTCTTCGTGCCATTTCATTAACACTAGAATTTATTCTAGATATATCACCAAGAATAACAGTTAAACCTGCACCATTTCCTACTTGTAGTTTGTTTCCTCCTTAGTACTCACTTAAAACATTGTGATTAATAAGATCATGGTGATATGGTCTGTAGCTCCTGAATAAAGATACCAAGTCCCCATTTAAAATCACTTGTAGACCAATCTGAATTTCTAGAGATGCTTCCCGCGTAATTAGCCTGATTTTGAGCATTCTGATCTCTTTGTTGCTGAAAATAAGGGTAGACGTGTTCGTAATTGTATTGTCTACGGGTTCATTGACTAAAGTACGTTTTTGTCTATGTCAAGCCTGTGTTCGTAAAAGTATCATGGACAGACCTTTAGGTTTGTGTGTGTGCTTAAACTTTCCCGTTTATGTTTAATCCCTTGTTACGAGAGTTATTGGGATCAAACTGCTAGGTGATTAGTTGAGGGCCTCAATCTACGAACAATAATACATTATGTAGATTTAAGATTGATGTGTTGAATCCTGACGCCTTAGTGTTGGGTTATATTAGGAACGTCAACGACATGCACGTTTGAATTTGGCAAAATAAACACAAACACAACGGAATCTATAGTTAGAGTTAGGGCATTACCGTTAAAATTTTTTTGCCGATGCTGAGACGTTTATGATTTTCTCTGTAGGAGATCGTCTGAACCACAAAGTCCATTTTGCAGCCGGACTAGTCCTTCTCGGTTGAATCAGATCATTAGGTCACAAAGGGATCACCGAGAACTTGGGTTTGTCTGGTTCCGGCCGGTAGGACTGGGTTGGGCTCGGTAGGGTCACGGCTGAACTCGATCGGGCTCGCGGCTGCACTCGATTGGGCTCGCTGCGGGTCATGTGAGGCGTCTGGTGGTCGGGTGTCGCAGACGGGCGCTGGTTGTGGATGGGTGCGGTTAGTTCACACAGGCAAATGGACGCATGCTGTGCGTACGACTCGCTGGTTGCTGGCGTGCACAGGCGGGTCGCAAGAGGGTCGGGTGCGTGCGGGCACAAGAGTCCTACTCCTGCGAGGACTGGGATGCGGACGATGGGCGCGGACAAATGGAAACACGCGGGCATGCGCTGCACGTCTCCATGGCATGTGCGGACTAGAGCAGCGTGCTTCGCGTTGGGGAACGGACGCAAAAAACACGGACAATGACGGTGCGCGAGCAGGTAGACAGGGCTGGTGGCTCGCACGGGTTTTGGCGGTCGTCGCTGGGAACTGGCGCCGGCATCTGGCTGGCGTGCGACTGCGAGCTTCGGCTCTCAGCTGCGTGCTGGCTGGGTGCTGGCGGTTTCCGGCAGCAATGGGTGGTGGCAGGAATTTGTACAATTAAAAGGCTCGAATAACTTGTACCTTAAAGCTTTCTAATGTATTACCTAAACACCTACTTCGATTAATCTTGGTGGTGCGATTAATCAAATCTCCTGAACTCTCGAATATATGAAGATCACGATTTCCCTCTCATTGGAAGACCTAAAAACTGAGCTCTTACATACGCGTAGGGGAAGAGGTTGGGACATGGTGTATTTATAGGCTATGTTAGGGACCTTAATGAGGTGTTAAATATGGATTTATCCTATTAGGCTTAGGAATTCTAATTATGCTTCATATTCTATCCCATCTATAAGTTATTCCTCCTAACCTTAATTACCTTCTAGAAGACTCCATAGTCTCTTAACCCTAGGTAATATTCTAGAAGGAATATTCCTCTCCTAATGGAATCTAAAATATAGAATATAATTAATTTCTAATTTCCTAAATATAATTAAATAATAAAACATCTCACTAGAGTAATATTATTGTTCTCCCCCATTAAGCTCCAATTTATTCATTAAATTCGAACCTCCAAAGGATTGATAAATATTAATATAATTGATTGATTTATCTCCCAATGTTTAAGATATAACTTATGTCAATTAATTTAATTACTGACAATTAAATTAAATTGACTTCTTTCATTTACGAAACTAGTACCATTCGTTTCATTAATCATTATGTCAGATAATTATCTACCTGCAGGGTTTGACATAATATTCCTTCCTGAGCTCATTAAGGAGACGTCATCAACCCAGCGCACTGGAACATAGTGACTGTAAATGATTTATAACAGCACATCATATTAACACTCTTCCTTACCAAAATACCGAGTATGTCATCCTTACATAATAGAAATCACCCTAGGTAAATCAAATAAATAAGTAATGAATACATATGCCCATTTTATATTATCTTACAGCTTAAGAGTACGCATCAATCACTGAAGGTCTAGATTATAACCACGATCAGTAAATCATATAATCTTGACCTTCTGCGGTCCTTTCAATACTTATCTTAAGTACTAGTCTAATCCATCAGTTAAAGACCAACTGAATCAAGACTACACTACAGTCTTTTTTCAACAGGGGTCTCACTGCTTGTCTAGACTGTGAACAATTAATTTATATTGTACAATGAACCGATAATATGATCCTTTTGTTCGACACGACAAACCATATTATCTACAATGTAAAATAAAAGAGTTATGATTGCATAAATAAATAAACTACAAACATAAATATTTTGACTAAAACATGATTGCCAGATCAAAATGGAATTGTATATATCTGAAAGCCAAGTTTTAACAACATATCTAACACCTAGAACTTATTCTACTTCTCTAGTGATTTTATTGTTTGTTATTCTAGTTCAAGATAGTTTTTAGATAGTTTTTTAACTCAATCGTGATTAGAATAATTAAGTTCTTGTTTTCTTTCATGTGTGATCGATGTTGATTCTATATTTTAAACCGCCTTACTCGAGAGATCGACCAAAGGTCGGGATTTATTTCGTACTAGGT